GCACCGGCCTCCAACAGCAAACGCATGACTTCGACATGTCCTCGATGACCAACCCTCACCAAAGCTGTCGAGCCGTCGTTGTTCACCAGATTCTTGTCGGCACCTGCCTTCAACAGCATTTTCACGATTTCGACATAACCTCCACAAGATGCGAACATTAAAGCTGTCTGCCCGTTCTTGTCGGCTGTGTTGCTGTCGACACCGGCCTCCAACAGCAAACGCACACAAGTGACATGTCCTTCAGCAGCTGCACTCATCAAAGCTGTGCAGCCGCTGTCGTTGGCAAGGTTTTTGTCGGCACCGGCCTCCAACATCAAACGCATGACTTCGACGTGTCCTCGACCACTCGCGCTCACCAAAGCTGGCGTGCCGTCGTTGTTCACCAGATTCTTGTCGGCACCTGCCTTCAACAGCATTTTCACGGTTTCGACATGACCTGCACAAGATGCGAACATTAAAGCTGTCCACCCGTTCTTGTCGGCTGTGTTGCTATCGACGCCGGCCTCCAACAGCGAACGCACACAAGTGACATGTCCATTAGCAGCTGCAGTCATCAAAGCTGTGAGGCCGCGGTTGTTGGCAAGGTTTTTGTCGGCACCGGCCTCCAACAGCAAACGCAGGACTTCGACATGTCCTCGACGAGCTGCGGTCGTCAACGCCGTCGAGCCGGTGTTGTCGGCCAGGTTTTTGTCGGCGCCTGCCTTCAACAACAACATCACGATTTCGACGTGACCTACATCAGCTGCGATCATCAAAGCTGTAGAGAGGTTGATGTCGACCAGGTTTTTGTCTGCAGCGGCCTGCACAAGCAAACGCACTACTTCGACATGTCCTTCATCAGCTGCGATCATCAAAGCTGTCGTGCCGTGGTTGTCAGCCAGGTTTTTGTCCGCACCGGCCTCCAACAGCAAACACATGACTTCGACATGTCCTTCAGCAGCTGCCATCATCAAAGCTGTCCAGCCGCTGCTGTCGGCCAGGTTTCTGTCAGCACCAGCCTCCAACAGCAAACGCACGACTTCGACATGTCCTCTATCAGCTGCGATCACCAATGCCGGCTGGTGAGAGGTGCCAATCAAATCTGGATCTTGTGGCAGCTGCATCATGGACTGAACCTGCAGGGTTGTTGGAAATGCAACCATTGCGCTTACAATATAACCCCTAAGGGTCCATGTACCCCAATAGTACATACATTGGCCTTAATGTAATCCTTATATATGTACATTGGGCCCAAAGTATATACTATTCGGGTACATGGACCCTTAAATCCTAAACCCCTATAGAACCCTTATAGAACCCGTATAGTAACCCTTAAGGAGCCCTTAAAGGAACCCCTACTTGCCCCACTTAGGGGCCTTAATACTTGGAATAGGGAGCCGGGGCCCAATATACTATAACCCTAAAACCTACATGTAGCCGAAAAGACCTACCATTTTAAGGAACTATATATAGAAACCATATTAAGGAATCCTAAAAAGGTAGGCCTTTTCGGCTCCAGGTAAACTCTAAATTATTCACGCCCCTATACTACAATACCCCACTTAGCTTTCGATTTTCAAGGCTCGGGCCGCAATTTTGAGCCCGCAAAGAAGCTCCTTGGGCTTAGGGGTTTAGGGTTTAAGCCTTAGGGTTTAGGGTGTAGGGATTACAGGGTTTAGGGTTTCGGGTTTTGGGGTTTTAGGGTTTTGGGGTTCGAAGTGCAGGGCCCGAAACTGTAGCAGAGCGAGGCTGATGACACATGGGAGTTTCCGAAAATTAGGGGGTACCTTACTTGGGGTCCTTATAATAAGAATCCTACTATTTAGGGTACTGTTTTAGGGTCCCCTATTCTCGGCAACTCCCACATGGCGGGAGTTAAAGCATGATCAATGTCACGGCTCCTTCACCTTCATCCCTACCTAGAGGCTCATACCCTACCCCTTGTTTAGGATACCTAGTTTTATGGTTAGGATCTGTCCTCTTAAAAAGTAGGGGCCCTAAAAAAGGGGTTAGGGTATGAGCCTCGAGGTACACCTTAAACTAGTCCCTGAACCCGAAACCTGCTTCACTGGGCTTCAAAAGGCCAGACTTCAGGGTTTCGGGTTTAGGGGTTTCGGGTTTTCAGGATGTGATTTAAGGTTTAGGGATTATAGGGATTACGGTTTAGGGCTTCGGCTTTTAGGGTTTAGGTTTTTAGGGTTTAGGGCTTAGCTTAGGATTTAGGGTTTAGGCTTTCGGGTTTAGGCTTTAGGGCTTAGGGCCATTTAGTTAGACACGAAGTTTACCCCAGCCCTGGCTGGGATTGGGAAAAAGGGGCGACGTGCACCGAAAGACCAAACACAGGCTTTGGGCTTAGGAATAAGGGATATAACCCTAAGGGTCCATGTATATACCCAAATAGTTACATTGGGCCCAAAGTATATACTACTTGGGCACATGGACCCTTAGGGTAAGGGGTGTCATGCTTTAGAAGTTTGTTGAAGCATCGATTCTGGATGCTGGTTGATAACGTCCCACCTCAGAAATGGAGCCCTGCGAAGCAGCAGCTGCAAGCTCTTCCACCTGCTCTTCAGAAACATCAGAAAAGGTCAACAAAACGACGTCCAAGTCCATGGGAGAGTCCAGCCTCTGGGCATCCTCCAGACTTTCCTAGTTCATTGTTGGGATAGGATTAAAACTGTACATTTTTATTCCTTCTTGGGTTCAAGTACCCATGAAAATGTAAAATGTGACCCAACTATGACAAAGTTTCGCCAAGGAAGAGAACCCTCTGTCTAAATCGTGGTGGCAAGCCGTGCAGCTGAGAAAGGTGCTGCTTCAAGCCCTTCACGTCCTGCACCTCCTCCACAGGTATGCTCGTCAGAGCTTCCCCTGACAGCAACTTCACTCGCAGCATCTTCGCGAAATTGCGAGGCAGCGAAGAAGCGCGATAACTCCTAACAGCAAGAACACCTGTTGAGCCAAAAAACTCCGGCGGTGACTACACTCCCAGCTACTTGAAAACCTCGCTAAGGTGAACAGGGTGGTCACATCAAAGATCCCTCCCTCTGCCTCGTCCTTTACTAGTTTGACTATGGGAGTTTCCGAAAATGGGGGACCCATATACCCCACATAATCGGATCCTTATTAGAAGGACCCCAAAATAAGGTACCCCTCATTTTTGGAAACTCCCATATTCGGGAAACCCTGAACATGACAAGCACCACCCACGAGAGATCCCAAGACCATGCAACCCCAAATAGCCCCCTCTACAGTAGACCCCATAAGTAGGTAGTAAGTAGACTTATAAGTACCCTAAAAGGGGGCCCTAATTGGGGTTATGGTACTTATAAGTCCCTAAAATAACCAGTTACTAAGTCCCCCAAATAGCCATCTCTACAGTAAACCCCATAAAGTCGGAAACCGGATTAGGGCCAAATAGTGCTGGGATTCCTTATACATTACTCTTAAGGATTGAGGCTATTGGGTTTCCAACTTTTCGGCTTCTGCTGTAAACCTTAAAACCCAGAGAGTGTAGGCTTCAACGCGCTGCTTCGGGATTTATGCTGGTGGATGCGAGAGCAACTCGGTCCAGCCATGTTGGTCCCGAACTTAGGGCTTAGGGCTAAAGGTGTACCTAGGGCTCATACCCTACCCCTTATTTTTAGGGCGCCTACTTTTGTAAGGTAACAGATCCTAACCATAAGGCTCGGTATCCGATAAACAGGGGTAGGGTATGAACCTCTAGGTAAGGTTTAGGTTTGGGGAAGTTTCGCAATCCTCGAACACTCCAGGCGATTGCAGAGGACTGACTCTTTCCCTTCGTGGCTCTGCTACACTATAAATCAATTACCAATACTATTTTGCGGGTTCCTGATTATAGTAGAAGCCAGAAAGTTGGAATATGATTATCCTAAGCCCTTTAAGGTGAATTATAGGGGATCCTACCATTAATCCATATTCCAACTTTCTGGAGTTCCCTGTATAGTTGTAATATAATATACCCCCCAAGCCCTCTTCTAATTAGTAAGGCCCCATAAGGTACCACGAACCAACCTTCTACTTGCGTTAAACTCCGTCAAACTCCTGCTGAACCGTCTACATGAACCCCACTCGAATTCTAGGATACCCAGTAACCTAAGAATAAAAAGGCCTCTCTTTTTGGTATTGGGTAACTTTATAAGGAACCTAGGACTACAAAAAGGGAATAAGGGTACCACTGGGCATCCTAGAATTGTTAAAGACCTCTACACTAAACTCAGTCTTTCCGAAAATTCCCAAGCCCTGTCACCACGACAGCCCCCTCCGAAAGCCCAAAACGAAGAGATCATGCGAGAGTCCAAACGAAGACAAAGCCCAAAACATGATCTCGATGATCCTGAACTAGGTTGACGGCTTAAAGGTTTACCTAGACCCCCCAAAGTAGGCAAAATAATGGCCCAAAGCCCTATAAAAGGCTATTATTCTACATACTTTTGGGGTCCAGGTAAGGGTTTACGGGATTTTGGTTTAAGGTTCTGAACCCTGAGCCCTTCACCGACTTCGGCTTGGGCGTCTCACGGCTTTAGGGTGCAGCGCTCGGAGTTTGTATGGCTCCTCTTCCCTATTTTAGAAGGGTCCATGTAGCCAAGTAGGGGTTCCTTTAAGGGTTACTATACGGGTTCTATAAGGGTTCTATAGGGGTTTAGGATTTAAGGTCCATGTACCCAAACAGTATTTACTTTGGCCCCAAAGTACCTACATAAGGACTACGTTAAGGCCAAAGTCTATTCTATTTGGGTACATGGAACCTTAAACCCTAAACCCTTATAGAACCCTGTTGATGCAGGACCTGGCCGTCAACGACTTCTTCGCGCAGCCTTGATGGCTGAAGATGGAGCAGAGCTCCATGTGAACAGCAGTTGGCACGTACAGGTTAGTCCAGAGGACAACGTAAGCCAGCAGTTGCTTTGTGTGCGTAAAAGACGTAAGTCCGAGTGCTGAGCCATGGTTCTTTGAAGCTGCTTTTCTGGTGATTCTGGAACGAAACTGAGAAGATTAGCATGGACTCTGCAGACGGCAATCCCAATGCACAGGACGTCCCAGACGTCCAACACGATTCCAACGTTCAACAGGTTATGAGTAGCCCAAGTGTTGCTACTGCGCAAGAAGCTGGAACGCAAGGCGCCCCTCGGGTGCTTAACGGATTCCTGCCTCCTATTCGCGGAAGTCAAGACATTGACGGTGAAGTGCTATCAGCCAGCCTTCTGGCTGAACGTGCAAGCGGTCCAGCTGAGACAGCTGGCCATCTACTGCAACCGGCGGGTTCTGGAAGTGGTACTGTGGCGACAGCTCAGATGACATCTGGGATGGAGAGAGCCATGGACCCCTCCTCTTCTGCTTTACATCAGGCTGTGCCTGGGCTTCAGGCCCCTCCGACGGGGGTTATGATTACTGAGGTTCGGGGCCAGACCCAAGTGCAAGGAGCAGGATCGGGAGGTATGTTCTCTGGAGTTCTGAGAGCAGTCCAGACACTGCCCACTGCAGTGCAGAACTTGATGGCTATGTCTACGGCTGGAAGATGGGCCCAAGAGCCCACTGGGGTTCATGATAGCGTCGAATATGGCTCTGTCAGATCTTCGGTGGGAAGGACTCAAACTTCCCCTCCGTCGGCTACGCAGGTTCCTACAACCCCGTTGTTGGATGCTGCTACTTTGATGAGAATGCGGCAACTTCAGGAAAGCGCTCCGTTGCTTTACCCGGAGGCGTCGCCACTGCCACCGGCTCCGAGACCGGAGTCCACTTCATCGAGCGACTTGCAGGCTGAAGTGAGAAGACAGTTGACGGAGCTGATGGCGAGTAGAGATGAAGAGACTAGGTTGCTTCGCGCCCAAGTAGAGGCGCTGTGTGTAGAGAATCAGAGCCTGAGGCTCCGTGTCGAAGCTGATGTACAGTCCGGGATGCAGAGCTCGAGACCTGGGGTAAGTAATCCTAGTGGGTTAGGAGGGTTAAGTTGGTTAGGGAGAGGCTTGGGTACCTTGATGGGTCAACAGAGGGCTGGAAGGGTTCTGGAATCCTCTCCATCCCCTCCGCCTCCTCCACCGCCTCCGGCTCCCCCGATTCAGTTGAGAGACCGTGCAACACCCGAGACTTCAGCGTATTTTCAGCACTCTTTGGACTTTGGTGTTGGGCCGCCTGGACTTACGGCCGTGCAGCAGCCTAGCTTCGGTTTAGGCCCCAATGTAGGACCCTCTTTAGGTTACGGAGACCGAATCCCTAGCGCAACTGGCCCCGTCGAGCTTAGGCCCATGTCAACCTTGAGGAGTGAAGTAGTGCCTGTTCCCGAATTACCTGACCCGAGATCCTTAGGAGTAGCCCCTGCGAACCCTCCCGAGCCTCCTGCGTCGAGAAGTGGCCAGAGCCACGGGGCGTCTGTTGTGCCTGGCTCTGTGGTGTCAGGGCAGGCTGCGACTTCGGTTCCAAGGCAGGCTGCGACTTCGGTTCTAGGGCAGGCTGCGACTTCGGTTCCAGGGCATGCTGCGACTTCGGTTCCAGGGCATGCTGCGACTTCGGTTCCAGGGCAGGCTGCGACTTCGGTTCCAGCGGATGCTGCGACTTCGGTTCTAGGGCATGCTGCGACTTCAGGTTCAGGGCATGCTGCGACTTCAGGTTCAGGGCATGCTGCGACTTCAGGTTCAGGGCATGCTGGAACCCCGGACCCCATGAGTGTGGTTCTAACTGGCATGGCTCAGCTTCAGAGTGTGATAAGCGAACTTACGAGTCCAAAATCGAACAGCAAACCAGAAGCCATCAAGCCTGGCGTGGTTTCCCTTCCGGCTCTTCCAAGTCATGGGCCAGATAGCTGCTTGTACTTTGCCGACTGGCTCCATGAGACTAAGCCAGCACTAGCCGATGTTTCGGATAGTTCGGAAGAACTCTGGGCATTGACTGTGGCGGAGGCTACCACTTGGTACGCTGCATACTTGAAGCTCGACCCACTCAGTAGGCTAACCTTCAAACCCACACCGTCGTCAGAGCTAAGCCAACCTAAGTGGACTCGTGTATGCCGAAGAATAGAAAACATGATCTTAATGTCCGCCCCGGCCTCGATACGAGAAGAAGTTAGCGCTTCTAGGACCTCCGGATTGCTAGCGGTGCTTTGCAAACTTTTCATTATCTACGGGCCGGGCAGCTTGACAGAGAAAGAAATCGGGCTGCGGCACATCCAGGATCCTCCGGCATGCACAAGTGTCCAGGAGTGCATTGATGGGTTGCGCCGCTGGAAGCGGTGGTGTAGTCGCATGACGGAATTAGGGGGTATACTCCCCGACCCGGCATTGCAGTTGAAAGCTGTGACTAAAATCACTCGTTCAGTGTTATCTCAGCAGTCGGAGCTGGCCTTTAGGGTGAACCTTGTGCGGGCGTCCCTCCAGATAGACTTGATTCCGGATGATGATAAGGTGTCGCGATTCCATGCGCAGGTGTTGAGCGAGCTTGAGTCCATTGTGCACCGAGGGGATAAGGATAAGGATAAGGGGAATAAGGATAATCCTCCTGCGCCTAGTGCCAAAATCAAGGGTGTAGAAGCGCAAGTGTCTGATGTTCCGCCTTCTCCGAAACCGCCTAAGAATCCCCCTAAGGCGCCTCCGAAGGGACCTAGCCCAGCGAAATCCTCTGCAGGACATGACGCCTCTGTCAGGCCACCGTGCACCTTCTATAGTAGCCCAACAGGCTGTAAGAAGGGATCAGAATGTACTTACACTCACGATTGGTCCGCCTTTTCGAATTCTGAGAAGTCGACTAGGTGCAAGAACTGTGGGAGTAAGGCTCATAAGGGGCCAGACTGCACTGCTGGGACGAAGCAAGGTGAATCTCCGAAGGCAAAGGCTAAGGCGAAGGCTCCAGGATCCCAGAGGGGTGTAGCCGACACGTCGCAGGCACCACCGCCACCACCGGCGGATGTGAATCAGCAACATATCAAGAGTATGTTGGCGGACGCAGCGATGATCCTTCAACAGGTAATGCCGAATAAGGAGCAGGGTGCTGGGGCGTCTTCGTCAACGGCTCAGGCAGTTCCCATTGCAGGTGCCCCGATCCCGCAAGCCGATCCCGTACAAGGGACCCCAGTGTCTCTAGCTTCCATCCAGGCTCAAATTGAGAGCCTTAAGGCGGCTGCTAGAGATCACGAGGCGAAGGCAAGCATAAGAATGGTTGAGCCTGACACTAGGATCATTAAGGCAGTGGCACTGTTGGATTCTGGCGCAACGCACGCAGTGATCCCTTATCGCGAAAGCCTCACCAATCTTGAAAGGGTTCCCGTAACTTTAGCGGGTGACGCCAAACAAGAGTGGATGCGCACAGCTGGGGGAACGCTCGTGGTCCCTCCTGATCCTGCAGCTGGGTCCGAAGAGCCAAACCTACAGACAATCCTGCCCCTTGGGGCACTCGTAGAATCCCTAGGCTGCCGTGTGAGCTGGAGTAGACGTCAGGGACTCCGAGTGTTCCATCCGACTATGGGGTTGCTGAAGACAGGTGTGTCGGGAAATACGTGTCCTTATGTGCAAGAGGACCAAGCATTACGCCTCATATCCGAACTAGAAGATCACAGACTTGAGTCCTTCAAGCAGCGGGTGCAGACATTGGAGAGTCAGTTGGAGGTGTATGATCAACGGCCTGATCCCACTCGGTCGTTGCAGCATTTTGCTGCGACAGGGGACCGTAAGGATCTGCTGTGTGCCTTGATGACCCAACCCTACTTCAAGGATGTGCCTGAGGACCTCGTTGCAACCCTCGCCGAAGGGATTCCAGACTCGAGCCTTGATTCAGGTAAGTCAATCCTGAAAACCCTTCCCCTCAAGCGCGCTGCACGGCGTGGCCTGCTCAGCTCGGATCGCTGGGTAGTTCACTTGTGCTCGGGACCTGAGACCTCTGGGGATCCTATCGCTAGTTGGTGTGACAAGAGTGGTATGGCTTTCTTGAGGGTGGACCTAAGACAACGGGGTGGAAAGGGCTGGGACTTGCTTTGCACGGATGGGGTGTGGAAGGTTCTTCTGTGGGCCGCTGCTCATGGGAAGGTATCTGTGCTGCTTTCTTCCCCACCTACGGTGAGGAATGGAAAGATCAGCCGGCTGCACCTGCAGGACATGTTTCTCTGGTCTTTGGCATCGGTATCCCGAGGCCGAGGCATCCCATATGTTGCGGAGGCGGTTGGGATTCAAGAGGAGGTTTGTGAGAGCTTCCGACGCTGGTCTGGAATGAATCGGTTCCTTATTAGCCAAGGGGCTTTGGGTGATGATTACGCACGCCCTACTGTGCTCACAACCAATTTGGATTTCAGCCACGTTGCGAGTCTCCCGTGTGCTGGAAGTTCGGTCCCGCCTCCCAATGGTAGGATCTGGAGTAAGGCACTTCGAGAAGAGTTGGTGAAGACCCTTTTGGGGACCCCTTCAGGCCCTGATTGTGAGACCTTGGATAGAGTGATTGCGAAGGGGTTAGCAGAGCGCGGCCCAAGTGTAATCAACAATTCCGATGGTTCAATGATGGTGTGCCCCTCGGCCTTGGCAGCTTCGGAGGCTGAGGCGCTTGCGCGTGCTTTTGAGGCTGAAAGCATCATTGATTCAGACTCCGAAGGGGAACCTGATGAAGCGGTGACGCTGGATGAGCTAGGTGATGGCACTTCCGGTGAAGGTGTTAAGCCTGAGTGTGTAAAGGGAGTTCAGGGTGGTGACTGTCCACCTGGGAATGCGTCTCAGGAGGAGCCGGGTTCAAGCCTACAAGCATCTCTGAGGCCGAGGCCGAAAGGTGGCGCCAGCACTTGCTCAACGGGCACCTCCCTTATCGTAGAGATTGTAAGCAATGTATAGAGGGGGCGGGGTTAGGCCCTTTTCATAGACGAATACGCCACCCACGCTCCTTCGCGTTGTCGGTAGACCTTTTCGGCCCAGTGCCCCCACATGAGGCAGGCAGGGACGAAGGTTGCATCACAGGGAAAACAATCCTGCGCTACGGACTTGTCGGTGCCTTTAGGGTACCCCGGTCTTTGATCGAGGACTCAGATAAGCCTCATAAGCCGGATGGAGTGAAGGACTTGTTCAGCAGCGATAATCCCGAATTGCCCGATGGCGAGAATGAGCTGGCGGAATATGAGCCTTCAGATCCGGGAGGGGAGCTGTTTCCAGAGCTGTTTGGTCCAGGCGTAGAGGCGAGTCAGCAGCAGGAGGATTCAGATCCATTGCCCAAGGTGAGTGCAGCTTCGGCAGAGGATGCTAAGTCCTCTGTTTGGGATCCCGTTGACCTCCCTGAAGACAAGGAGGAAATGGAACGCTTGATCGAAGAGTTGAGTGAGCCTGTTGATCAGGTGGTTTTGCGGTATTTCGTTCCACTGCGCACTAAAACAGGTGTGGAAGTTACGGAAGCCCTTCAACAAATGATCTTGCAAATAAACCAAAGGTTCCCAGTGCGTAGCATCCATCATGATCCTGGGACCGAATTCGGGTCCACCCCCCTCAGTCGCTGGTTGGCGAACCACGGGGTGAGAGTTCAACACTCTCTACCCACCGATAAGAGAGGCAATGGCCTCTCCGAGCGCACTGTCGGCTGGGTTAAGTCTCGCATCCGCACATTGCTAAATGGGGCAAGCCTTGGAGTAGTATGGTGGCCTCTAGCAGCACGATGGGCGGTTGCTAAGCATAACGGGATCATTTTAGGAGAGCCTGAGCTTCCAGCCTTCGGGCAACGAGTTCTGCATCGCGTCAAGCGACCTGCCGATGGGACTAAGCAGTTGATGGAGCGTTGGGTCGAGGCAAGATACGCAGCGCCGCATCGATCCATCCCAGAGGGACATGTCTTGATAACTGAGGCAGGCAACTTGGTCGCTTCGCGGGGTTTTAAGTCCAAGGTTGTTGATCCTTTAACTCTTGAGGGGTTAGAGCTTCCAATTCTTCAGGAGGAGGAAGCGCTGGAGGGAGAACCAACCGGTGAGGTGATTGATGAGTCCGGAGTTCCCGTAAGGAGACTTAGAGAGAAGACTTCGGTGAGGTTTGTTGAATGCTTGGATTTCCCAACTTCTGAGGAGGTTTCGCAGGAGTTCTTGCTTTCGCAGAATTATAGTATCGAAGCTCTTCGCAAGGTTTTGAGTGCAGTGGCCCAGGAGGAGGAGAGTTCGGTTGACCGAAGGGGAATAGCCGAGGGACGTCAAATCTTTGGTGCGTACTGCCATGGCGGTTTGAGAGGGGTGACTAATTTGGCTAAGCGTAAGCCTTGGACCACTAGGTTCATCAACCAGGCCTTGTTATCACGGCAACACTCCCATGACGTACATCCTGACCCGTCGCCTGGAGTTTCTGCTGTATCCTCAGCCACCTTGTCGTCTCCCGGTTTCGGACACCCAAACCGGGATCTCCCATCATGGTCCGCAGTGATGCTGATGCGAGCTGGGGACGTAGGTGTACATCGCGATTGGCGGAATGAGTGGAACACAGTTAATGTTGCCATGCATGTTCCGGGTGAGGTCCAATTATGGGTTGAGCCGAGTGGGGACTCTCTGCCAAGGAGCGCCAACCCTCCCACTCCCACGTGGGATCCAAGCGACACTCACACATTGACCGAGGTTCCATTCACCTTCGACCCGCGCCAGCATCATGCAGTCCGTATGCAACCGAATTGGCTGTTAGTCGGTTATACTCCTTTGGGAACGCAGAAGTTAAACCCGAGGGATGTCGCATTTCTAGAATCCTGTGATTTTCCATTGGCCTTCAGTGCAACTCAAGCACCACCTTCGCCCCATAAGGACGTCAGGTATCAAGTGAGAGCTCTGTCCTCGACCTCGGAGGATACGTCCGAGTCCAGTATCAGTTCCGAGGAGCTCCGGCATCAGATTGCAGTTGCAACGGTGCCCAATGATCAGCAGCTCCCTCCGGGTCAACTAGAGCCACTTGAAGCCGATTTGCAACCAGATGCAAGCACAGCGTTGGTGGGTTGGGATTTTAGCACAGGGGATCCAGGTGATGTGCCGATTCCAGGTTTGGTAAATGTAGCACTGGCCGACTATCTGCGGGTGCGTGGAGTCAGTGATGCCTATGGCCGTTTGTCAGCCCTTGGAGTAGAGTCTCCCAATGATCTGCAATTCCTGTATCTTGAGGACCTATTAGAGTTTGGGTTCACTAGAAGGGTCGCTGAAGGTATAATGCTGGGGATTCATCCTCCTGGGACTCGTCGTCCTGACAGCCCTCAGCTGTCCAGCTTAACCACAGGCGAGGTGAGACTCCTGGATCGCGCTCAGCGGGCCATTCCGTGGATAATTCAGAATCGTACTTTGGCGCAACAGTGTCCCGGTCCACCATTAGCCGGCTTGGGATGCAAGCAGCCGGACGCTAAGCGTTCTCTTCTTAGGCCTGAGGCTGAGGAGGAGGAGCTAGCAGCTCCAGATCCCTTTGCGTTCCCTGAGATGCCCGGTGTAGACCCAACGGATTCTCCCACTTCACGATCTTTATGTGATGTACCGAGTTCGTCGCATGAAGCCCCAAGGGTGAAGCATGCAGCAGAGCAAGCCGTAGAGGACTATCAATACATGATGTACATGCAGGCATTGTGGGGGGATGAAGATTGGGTTCCAGGACCAGATTCTGGTGTGCCCACAACTTCCGCGCAGGCCTCTTCATCTCATGAGCCTTCTACTGTTCCCGCTCAGGCCTCGTCGTCTTACGAGTTAGATGAGCCCGCTGAACAGCTACAGTCTAGTGCCATGGAGTTGAGCGTAGAGCTTCCGCAGGTAGGTGAGGACGTTGAGGTTGGAAGTGTGCCCAGCGTAGACCCGAAGGATTCTTCCACTCCACAGTCCGACTTGTCCTATAGATGTATGGCCGTTCACCACAGTTCTGCTGAGCAAGCTGTAAGGTCGCAGGTCTCATCCGGCTCCGCTGTGACTTCAGGGATGCAGGATCGTCTGTCGTCACGATCCACTGCCTCTGGAGCGACCTCTGGCATCGGGGTTCCTACTGATGATCCGCTGTTGTCTCTCCGGGCTACGGGTTCGAGTCATCTTACTGCTCCAGCCGTAAGAAGGGTTGATGAAAGCATCTACACACCTAACGTTGAGGAACTACTCCAAAACCTCAGCGGACCGTTGGAGGTCGTGCATACTGTTGCACCTTCAGAAGTGCGTCGTCATTTATCGAAGTGGCGATCGGCAGCCCAAGCTGAGCTTGAGTCGTTTGAAAAGTTGGGCGTGATTGAGAAGCGCTACGGTCCCGAAGCCAGGAGTGTCATCCGTGATTCGTCAATCGAGGTCATACCCGCCAAGGCAGTTTGTACCATCAAACCTGGAGAGCCATTTAAACGAAAATTCCGTATTGTGTCGTGTGGAAACTTCGCTTCGGCCACAGATGAAGGGCAACTCTATGCGGGTGGTGCTGGGGCGGAGAGCCTTCGCACACTCTTAGCACATTCAAGTCGCCGCGGGAGGCGCTGCTTTGGACTTGATGTGAAATCTGCGTTCCTCCTCGCACCTATTCCGGCGAATGTGACAAGGCGATATGCGATGCGCCCTCCACGGATGCTGATAGAGCTAGGCTTGTGCGCGGAGGACGAGCTTTGGATAATCCATAGAGCATTGTACGGATTTCGTGAAAGTCCGAAGTGGTGGTCGATCCACCGGGATGAGTTCCTTAAGTCCGCCGTGTGGACTAGCCCTTATGGCATGGTCCGTTTGCAGCAGCTCGTCAGTGAGGGCAATATCTGGAGCATGAGGCTTAGTGATGGCTCTTGTGTGGGACACCTCCTGGTGTACGTTGACGACATGCTACTGTTGACGGACTCCTGCGTTGCGGAATCGTTTATCACATGGCTGCGACAGTCCTGGGAGTGCACTGGGCTGAAGGAAGCTACCTCTTCCGAGCCTCTTCGCTTTCTGGGTGTAGACATATATGCCGAAGTTGATAGTGAGGGAGAAGTGATTGGTTATAGCTTGGCACAAGAGGCTTATATTGATGAGTTGTTGCGAAGCCACCAGGTGAAGCCGAGTTCGAGGGCTACAGCTCCTGTTCCACGTGAGTGGGTCAGGGAGGCCCCGGCGTGCGAGGACTTCTCTGAGGAGGAGTTGAGAGCTGGGCAACGAATTACTGGTGAACTCCTGTGGCTCGCGCAGCGTACCCGTTTAGATATAGGCTACTGTGTTGCTTTGATGTCGAGCTGGGTGTCTAGGTTTCCTCGGCAGGTATCCAAGATTGGAGCCCGCACTCTGGAATATCTTGCGAACACCAAAGAGCATCGCCTATTGCTTATCCCGGGAAAGGCTGATGGCATTAGGATCTATACGGACGCCTCCTTCGCTCCGTTTGGAGCGCACTCTATCAGCGGAATATTGTTGCAGTACGACGAGTGCACTGTAGCATGGAAATCAAAACGCCAGAGCCTGGTGACGTTGAGCACAGCAGAATCAGAGCTGTGTGCAGGGTGTGAGGGCGTAACCCTTGCACAATCCCTGGAAGCTTTGATCAGTGAGCTCGATGGATCAACAGGACCCAAGAAGCTGTTGGTCGACAACACAGCTGCGGTGACGATCGCAGAGGGTGGTGGCAGTGTTCGAACGAGGCACTTGCGGGTGAGGGCTGCGTTCCTTCATGACATGAGGGAGCGGCAAGAACTAGTCGTAACCCACTGCCCGGGCGATGTGCAGCTGGCTGATTGCTTGACCAAGGCTTTACTTAGGACCCGCCTGGAAGAGTTATGCAAGTTGTTAGGCCTAGGCCCCCCGCGTGCTACGCAGCAGGTTGCAACAGTCGCTGTAGACCCTAAGGCCCCTCCTCAACCTTCCACCTCTCTGCAAGGACCTGCCGCTCAGGGTGAGTTAGATAGGACCGTTGTGGGTAGGGGTTCAAGTCAATTAGGTTGGGATCCTGATAAGGTTGGGTTATGGTTGCTAGCTGTAATTATGCTGCTGCAAGCAGAGCGTGGAGAAGCAAGTTCTGCGGAAGAAGAGCCTAACCCAGAGCCTTTGAGCGTTGAGCTGTCCTTGATGGTAGCGCTATTGGTTATGTCTGTACTCTTCATTTGGGAATCTGGAAAACATTGCCTACGTGCCTGCTGTATGCGGCGTTCAGATGATGACACACGTCGTGCAGGTGATGATACGCGTCGTACAGGTGATGACACGCGTCGTTCAGGTGATGATCCGAGTGTTCGGGTGGTGAGAACAGATGATGATGATGATGATGATGGCGAGCACCGTGCCCGCAGAGGGCGCAGGCAAGATGCAGTCCGAAGGGCTATCGAGCGGGAGCTGCACGGCGAGGGTTTAAGGCATAGGGGTTCAACTTCAGGGTCCTTAGATTTGCAGCCTGAGGCTGCTTCTGGGGATTCGAGGGTTACTTCATACGTTCACGTGCAGGTGGATTCAAATCCGCCACAGAGGCCGATGGATTTCGAGCCTCCCTTACCAGCCTTCGCTACTTCTCGAAGCCCTCAGGCTCACTCCGAGATTGGATTTGGAAGAGCCCAGTCGTCTTCCTCGGTTCCAGTCCCTGTGGATTTACCGGCTCCTCAGACCTCCGAGCCCCGAGCTGATCCCTTAGGTGGTGGTTCTAGTCAGGCTAAAAGGGTCATGAGCGATGCATCCACTCAAACTGTAGATCGAACTATTAGTATCCAAGAACTCTGCGAGCTCCAAGTGTTAACTTCTACTGGTCGAGGACCTGGAGCTTTGCACCTGTTCCCGAACTGCCACGGCCTTCGCAACGTAACAAGTACGCACCAGCGTATGTTTTGCCGTTATTGTTTGCAAGCGGCCAGGGGAGGAGCAGGAGGTGGCCTTCCACCCTAAAGGGGAGATGCGGCCAAGGAGGAGTGTTGATGCAGGACCTGGCCGTCAACGACTTCTTCGCGCAGCCTTGATGGCTGAAGATGGAGCAGAGCTCCATGTGAACAGCAGTTGGCACGTACAGGTTAGTCCAGAGGACAACGTAAGCCAGCAGTTGCTTTGTGTGCGTAAAAGACGTAAGTCCGAGTGCTGAGCCATGGTTCTTTGAAGCTGCTTTTCTGGTGATTCTGGAACGAAACTGAGAAGATTAGCATGGACTCTGCAGACGGCAATCCCAATGCACAGGACGTCCCAGACGTCCAACACGATTCCAACGTTCAACAAGTCTATTCGGTACATGGAACCTTAAACCCTAAACCCTTATAGAACCCCTATAGAACCCTTATAGTAACCCTTAAAGGAACCCTTAAAGGAACCCCTATTTGGGTACATGGACCCTTCGGGCTTCAGGCCTTCTGATCAACTGAACCGGAAAACTTGGGCCTCAACTACCAAGAGACTCCAGGCCCCCCTGTAAGCAAGGAATGTTAGGTACTGCCCCCCACTTGGAGGGTCGGGGGACTTAGTAAGTAGGTAGTAAGCAGACTTATAAGTACCCTAAAAAGGACCCTAATTGGGGTTATGGTACTTATAAGTCCCTAAAATAACCAGTTACTAAGTCCCCCGACCCTCCAAGCATACAGTAAGAGTCTATAGTAAGGCTACTATTAAGGTCATAATATACCTATACTATCAATAGTAACCAACTACTACTCAGTGGAAACCGTACCCAAAAGGAATGTGCCTTAAGAAGGATCATCGAAAACATTCTTTGGGCTTTGTCTTCTTGTGGACCTTGAGGGCCTGGTGATCTGAGGTACATTGCCCATATACCATATACCCTACGAAGCCCTTGATTTAAGAGATATATCCCGCAAATCAGCCCTGAATGAACCCCTACTAAAACCGAAACCCTGAACAGGGTGCTTTCAGTGTAAGCGTTCTACAGGGTTGAGGGTTGAAGGCTCCATATGCCTACTATAGGGGCCCTGATAATTAGAATAGGGTTTCGGAGTATATTATACTGTAAATATGATAACCACCCCCCCCTTCCTCCAACAAAAAGCGTAATTACAATTAAGGCCAGTATACGTAAAGTATCTACATGGACCCCGTTGCGGCCTACGTACAAACTATATAGGTACATGGAGACTCGGGGATTGCACCCAGAATGCTAGGCTAGACCTTTTAAATCACCTTACCCGCCGTCACGAACCCTAAACCTAGGCTAGAGATCACAGCAACATGGGTGCTGAGCAATTCCAGCAAACCTGTGGGGCATATCTTATCTGCGGTGAAAAGGGGGCTGCAATGGGATCCTATTGATATTCTTGAAACCCAAGACCTTAAACCGTAATGCTGCTTCTCCGAGCTCTTGCAATATAGTGAACTCTACTGTCTCGAACCTCGGACGCTGGACACTGAACAGCATTTTGACCCATGCACGCCATAACAAAAGTCCCAAGCTATGAACAAAGCGCACGGGCCCCAAGACATGCTGCTGAGGAGCGAATATGAGCTGGGTCCATGTGATAAAGCACGAAACCCAACAGCAAAAGCTGAAACCGAAAACCGAGATCATGCTGCTGACTATAACCGATGCTGTACTGCGTCCCTCAAGCTTAATTAAGCCCTCAATCCTAACTCCCTAAACCCGACATTCCTCAACCCTAAGCCTCTAAATTTTAAGTCCCTGAAGCCCCGACCCTAAACCCTGAACCCCTAAACCCTCAAACCCAAAGCCCTAAACCCTACACGCTAACCTCTAGAACCCTAAACCCTCGAACCCAAAGCCTAATGGAAACCTGCAAGGGCCCTCCGAGCATCCGACTGCAGCAAGTGAAGTATGCTAAAGATGATCAAGAGGAGGGATCCGACCTTGTTTAGGTGTAGGGTTTAGGGTCATACAGGGAACTCCAGAAAGTTGGAATATGGTTTCTTGGTAGGATACCCTATAATTTACCATAGAAGGGTTAGGATAATCATATTCCAACTTTCTGGCTTTTGCTTTAGGGGTTTAGGGATCCGAGCTTGCAAGGGTTCAGGGTTTAGGGTTTCGGGGGTTTAGGGATCAGGAGAACAGCACCGACCTTGTTTAGGTGTATACAGGGTTTAGGGTTCTCTTGGGGGTTCCAGTAGAGGCCCGAAACAAAATGGCGTTCCGGGTATTTTGTGGTGTAAGTGTATATGTGAGAACTGTGGAGGATCTTCCCGGGTTGCCCAAAGAGCAGTGGCTTAAGTACGAAATGTGAAGAATTACATGCCAGACTCTGTGCTGTTATTGGTAAATGGAACGTCTTGGAGCCCGTATTTGTTCAGGGTCGGGTGCAGGGGGATGCTTCACATCAAGCACGTCCGCTCGTCGCTGTTGCTGCCACTACTACGCCGCTATAGGTGGCGGTGGTGGTGGTGGTGGTGGTGGTGGTGGTGGTGGTGGTGGTGGTGGTGGTGGTGGTGGTGGTGGTGGTGGTGGTGGCGGCGTGGGTGGGGACGGGGCTAGGACTGCCCTCCCAAACCCCAAGTGCGAAAAGCTCAGGAAACTTTACACGACACTTATCAACACACGAAACCCTGTGCCCTAGACATAACACAGGTATCATTGGATTTACTATACTACGCACAAAACTCCAAACTCTAGTCAATGGGTCATTGTGCGGGAACTTAATTAGGGTTATAAGCGGCAACTAATAACCCCAAAATACCATTTTAATCATCGTTTTCGAGACCTAGTTCCATAATTGTCGTGTATATGAATATGGACTAATTATCCCCTAACCCCAACTTTAATGCCTATGAACCCTAAACTAAACCCTAAACCTTACCTGTATCCCCAAGCCCTACAAAATAGTAGGTTATGACCCCTTAATTAGAGGGTCTAACATGGTCTGACCCTTAAGACGGTAGGTTTTTGGATCCCCAGGTAAACAGACCCCAACTACCCTCTAATATACCCCAAATGCCCACTATTAAGGGCCATAAGGGCTACATCAAAGGGCCATTGGGGGGTCCTGGTAAACCCTAAAATTTTATACTATTTTATACCTTAAACCCTAAGCCTTCATGGCTTTTCCTCCCCTCGCAGCTGTCCGCGCTTGGTGCCGGCGGCTCCCGCGAGCGCGAAGCTCGCGAAGGCGATCTTCGGTCGCTTTGCAGGCGGCTCCGGGGGAGCCTGACTTTGCTCAGAGATCCCAATACAGTAGAAGCCAGAAAGTTGGAATATCATTGTCCTAACCCTTTTATGGGTTTTTTTATAGGGGATCCTACCATTAATCCATATTCCAACTTTCTGGAGTTCCCTTTAACTTAATTAGGCATCTATAATGGTTTAGGGTTTAAGGTTTAAGGGTTCCTCTAAGGCTTCCTGGCAAGTTAAAGTTTAGGATTTAGGGTGGAGCCTGGCTTTGGTTTAGGGTTTAGCAGGACCCCCCAATGGCTCTTTAATGCAGCCTTTATGGTGGGTATTTAGAGTATATTAGAGGGTAGTTAGGGGGTCTAGGTAGGGTTGAGGGTTTAGGGTTTAGGGTTGAGGGATCAGGGGTTAGGGTTTAGGGCTGAGGGTTTACAGGGTTTCAAGGTTAGGGTTTAGGGGGCTTTAAGGGTTCCTCTAAAGGGCTCCTCGCGGTTTAAGGTTCAGGGTTTAAGCTCTGGGGTTCAGGGTTGAAGGTTTAGGGTTTAGGGGTTCCTTTAAGAGATCTATAATCATATAAGAGTTCTTTAAGGGTTGTGGGGTCTAGGGCTAGGGCTTAGAGGTTCCCGTAAGGGTTCCCGCTTGAAGGTTTCTATAAGGTTTCGTCATACTTAGCGTCCCTGAAGGGTTCCTTGAAGGGTTCTTTTGTGGCTTCCTTAGGGTTTAGGGTTTGTTGGTTTAAATCTAGTAGTGTTCCCAGAAGTTCCTTGAAGGGTTTGGGATGTGGGGGGTTTAGGGGAGCCTCG